TTCTGGTGCGACACATGGTGGCCCATTCATGTTCTCTGATCTGCATTCTGGTACAACGCTCATATGGCTGTTTGCCCTTCCTGTTCTCGGATCCGCATTTAAGTGCAACACTCGTGGGATGGTTGTCTCGGATCTGTTTTTTGGCGAACACTCATAGGGATGGTGGCCATGCCTGTTCTCGGATAGGTATTCTGGTGCGGCGCTCATCGGGATGGTGGCCATTCCTGTTCTTTGATCTGTATTTTTGGGTGCGGCATGCATAGGGGTGGTGGTCGTCCCTGCTCCCTGGGGCAGCGCTCATAGTTATTGCGGACTTCATTGTCGCTGACCAGTAGCCTGGTGCAACAACCATAGGGATGGTGGCCATGCCTGTTCTCGGATAGGTATTCTGGTACAGCACGCATATGTATGGCCGCCATTCCTGCTCTCGGATAGGTATTATGGTGAAACGCTCATATGGGTTGTTGCCATTCCTGTTATCGGATCTGACTTCTGGTACAACACTCATAGGGGTGGTAGTCATTCCTTGTTTCGGGTCTGTATCCTGGTGCAACACTCATCGGGATTGTGGCCATTCCTGTTCTCGGGTTTGTATTCTTGTGCAACGCTCATAGGGTTGGTGCCAATATTTCGCAACCATCCTATGATGTTGGGTCCTCGGTTTGAAGAGACAGCGCCCCGCGTCTCCCCCTTCCCATCATTATCCTTCTCCTCCTCCTCCTCCTCATCTCCTCCTCCTTTTCCCCCCCCCCCCCCACCCATCCTCCTCCTCATCCCCCGCCGCCCATTTCGGCACACCCCTCGCACGGCTCGTTGATCCATAGGGAGCCCCACCGCATGCCCAAGTGGCCGTGTTCGCATGCGCCCCCGCCACCCATGTCGGCACACCCCTCACACGGTTCGTGGCTCCATAGGGAGCCCCACCGAATTCCAAAGTGGCCGTGTTCGCATGCGTCCCCGCCACACATTTCGGCACACCCCTTCACACGGTGCGCGGCCCCATCGGGATGCCCACCGACGGCCCAAGTGGCCGCGTTCGCATGCGCCCCCGCCACCCGTTTCGACACACCCTCACACGGTTCGTGGCCCCATAGGGAGGCACACCGAAGGCCCAAATGGCCGCGTTCGCATGCGTCCCCGCCACTAATTTCGGCACATCCCTCACACGGTTAGTGGCTCCATAGGGAGCCCCACCGCAGGCCCAAGTGGCCGTGTTCGCATGCGTCCCCGCCGCACATTTCGGCACACCTCCACATGGTCCGTGGCCCAACTTGACGGGGAGGCCCACCGAAGGCCCAGGTGGCCGCGTTCGCATGCGCCCCCGCCACCAATTTCGGCACACACCTCACACGGTTCGTGGCCCCATAGGGAGGCCAACCGAAGGCCCAAGTGGCCGCGTTCGCATGCGTCCCCGTCGCAAATTTCGGCGCACCCTGCACACGGTTCGTGGCCCCATAGGGAGGCCCATTGAAAGGGCCAAGTGGCCGCGTTCGCATGCGCCCCCGCCACTCATTTTGGCGCTCCCCTCACACGGTTCGCGGCCCCACAGGGAGCCCCATTGAAGGCCCAAGTGGCCGCGTTCGCACGCGCCCCCGCCACCAAATTTCGGCACGCCCCCCACGCGGTTCGCGGCCCCATATGGAGCCCCACCGAAGGCCCAAGTGGCCGCGTTCGCATGCGCCCCCGCCGCTCATTTCGGCACACCCTCCACGCGGTTCGTGGCCCAAGAGGGAGCACCACCGAAGGCCCAAGTGGCCGCGTTCGCATGCGTCCCCGCCGCACATTTCGGCACGCCTTTCACACGGTTCGTGGCCTCATATGGAGGCCAACCGAAGGCCCAAGTGGCCGCGTTCGCATGCGCCCCCGCCACCCATTTCGGTACACCCCTCACTACGTCGAGGGCTTCATAGGGAGCCCACCGAAGGCCCGAGTGGCCGCGTTCGCATGCGCACCCCCACGTCCCCCCCCCCCCCCCCCCCCCCCACCACCCCGCCCATATCGCACTCCCCCACTCCCCCCCCCCCCTCCCCCCCCCCCACCACCTCCAACAACCACCACCACCACCACCCACCACTAACACCACCACCATCACCACCACCTACCACACACAAAAACACACACGGCCCAACAACGCAGTTCAACCCAAAATGGAGGCCCACCGAAGGCCCAAGTGGCCGCGTTCGCGTGCGCCCCCGCCACTCATTTCGGCACACCCTTCACGCGGCTCGTGGCCCCATAGGGAGGCCCACCGAAGGCCCAAGTGGCCGTGTTCGCATGCGTCCCCGCCGCAAATTTCGGCACACCCTTCACGCGGTTCGTGGCCCCATAGTGAGCTTCACCGAAGGCCCAAGTGGCAGCGTTCGAATGCGTCCCCGCCACCCATTTCGGCACA